GTTTAAGATTATTAAGGGTATTGATAATATAGATCCATCAAACTTTTTTTGTGTTTAGCAGTGAAAACAATAGGACAAGGGGCCATAAATTCAAATATTGGCAGTGTAGGAATCATCTACAGATTAGACAGTATTACTTTTCAAACAGGGTGTTTGGCTTTTGGAATGAACTGCCTTCAAGGGTGGTGGAGGCAGAAAATTTAATTGAGTTCAAGAAAAGAAGTAGAAAGGAGTTGTTACAGTTGGGAACTGGAATGGACATGCTTGATGGGCTGATAAACTCCTTTTTGTCCCTTTAAAATTTATGAAATTTTATCTTTAAACTGAGTCTAACTACTGCAAAAAAAGGCATAAATCACCCAGCAGGAATGTGGAGCATTTCGGGTGAACAAAGTTTCAGAATACATCTTGCAATGTTCTAACTACACATGTTCCTCGTGCATTACTTGAAGTTTTTACATTTTACTTTCTTTTGTTACAATATATACATCAATTACATAAATAAATAGAAAAAATATACCTAACAAATTTACTACTTAATACTGCCTATATGCCTTCTTGTACTCCAGAACCCACTTTGCTTAGGCTTATTTTTGCATACTATATTACTTGTCCAAAAAATAATTCATGCAGTTTTCATGCATATTTTGAAACATAAACAATAATTCAAACGGCAAAACAGAATGTCTCAAAACTACTATAATTTATATGGCTTTCTAACTAAGCTATAACTCTCTCAACAACGGCTCAGTCAATTTGACTGACCACATGACCTCTTTGTACTCATTCAAAGTCTTTATAGATTTGATACTACTAATATAGTGTGTATATCTTCACGAAATTTGGCAGTCTTTCAGTAAACATTATAAGTCTTTCACGTATAAAAAATCATATTTTTAGTGAAGTATTTTTAATAAACTAAAGATAGATTTGTCCTTGAAAATATCAAGTATTTGTTTCAAATAGTCCATGTGCAAAAGTGATTTTCATGTTAAAATTAAAAATAATTTTATTCATATCAAAAATTTCATTTGTGTAATCTCAAAACCTTCTAAATACATTTTAAATGTTTGTTTTTCCACCCTAACTCTATACAAGGTTGGTCAATTTGACTGACCTCGTAACCACTAAAAAAAATGGAAATAAATTTAAATTACCCTCTTTTTCTTTCTAGAATCACTTCAAATGTAACATGAAATTACATTCGTTTATCCTACGTAGCTTTAAACTTGTAACAGTATACATCTATTTATAATTAAATTTTATTGTTTTATTGCCCTTTGAACCATGTCTAATTACTATTCGCACCATTATAAGCTGTAAATCACTTGGGGATTGTGCAGCTCATGTTATGCAATTGAATTACATTACCCACTAGCTACTCTGAGCTGCTCGCGTGCATGCCTCGTGAAATATTTTTAATATATTCTTATTATTATAAATTTTACCTAATCTAACCTTAACAAACCTATAGATATCCAAATTTTTACATTTTAGTTACTTTTATAACGATAAATAAAGAATAGACATGAAAAACAAGAAATAAAGTACATACCCGAGTAATTTTTTTTTGCTTTCGAGTATCAATGATACCTAATCCTACTTTTTTATACTAATGGTAGTAGTGCATTAAATAATTTTTATTTAATTAAATAATGCACCAAAGAACATAGAATAATAACATGCAAAAAGCAGACAATTTTCTCTAACAATCACAACTTTTATGCTTTCTAACTTTGAGACAAGAGCTGTTACAAATTCATCCAAGCTAGCCGTTGGCTTTCCCATGGGAACAAAGCATGTATCAGAAGTGAAATTAACGATTATCTGTTCAGAACACAATGTAATAGAATACGTCATTTGATAGATGAAAACCTTGGCTTTATATTGGTTATAGGTAATATATAATTAAACATAACTATTAACGAATCCTGAAAGAAAGGATGCGACGCAGGAGGAGTCTGATTTTCTATTTGATAGCTCTATAACCAAACAAAATTGAAGGCTATAAAAATTATGGTTTATCTGAGCAATGATGATTTTATAGTGAGTAACTTACATTTAATTTCCGTAGTTACTGGAGGGGAGGTGGATAAATAGAGAAGATACCTAGAGAAAATGTGTCATGTGTGTCACACTAGGGTAAATTCAGGATTTTTTTAAATACTGCCTTATAGAACTAAGAACTTAAAACTTATATACTATTAAAATATAGATTATTAGTTAAGATTTTATGCTATACTAATTGGTATAATATAAACAAAAAGTAGTTTAATAGAATTTTGAATGTAAGACACTAAAACCCTGTGTCATGCGCAATAAAAGATACCCATGGCAATAAGGATAAATAGGTTAAAAACTTCTATTACTGCTCAGAGCACTGACTTCATTCAGTACACAATACTTTCTTGGAAACTGCCACTTTTGACCACCAAAAAATTATATAAATAGGAAGAAAAAATAGTGATGCATTGAATTTTGCTCTCTATTAGTTATAAACATGTACAATTCCAATATCAGACAGAATTATAAAAATGTCTTGAAAGATGAAGAGATGATAGGGCATTTCATGTAAGTTGGACAAATATAGTTATACATCAGTAAAATATAAATATTAGATGTTCAAATTTTATATTCTGGCTTGTAAAGATCTATAATCTGTGTTTCTAATTGGTTGGACATTCTGAAATGCATATACAATAGAAAGAAAAACTAAAATGTGGAATTCAGAGTACAGTCATGTTCACTTGACACGGAGAAAAGAAGACGAACATTTATTTAAGTGTTTTTTTTTTAAATTAAGAAACTGAAACTTACATAATATAAAAGCTTGAATTATAAACTGCATTTTGATGTTTAAGTTATAAACATACGTTAATAATAAAGTATGTTTGAATAAATTTTGAATGTAACACTGCAAAAATGTCACGACACGCATTTTGACCTTCCTGTATGCATAGGGTTAAGAGGTAATATTATTTTATACAAAAATACTTGAAATACATTTAGTCAGGGTTGTAGCTAGGTTGATTTGAGTGATGGGCAGTAAAAACAAGTCTAGTCCATAGATGCAAGTGCCTGTGGCTGCCACCATCTTACCCCCCCCCCCTGGCCAGGCAAAAAAATAATGGCTATTACTTTCACATGAATAATTTTAATGACTTTGAAAATTTGTAAATTCCTTCAGAAAGTCCAATAAAACACTCCACATGAGTAGTCACTAGGCAAACAAGTGTTATGAGGTGAATGACGAGTCTAAAAAAAATAAAGGCAGAGATAAATTTTACTCTAGGCTGAGTTTCATTTTTCTGATTGATCTATCTTTAACAGCAGGTAAGTGATACAAATTAGTCACAATGAAAGTTAAAAAAGTTTTTATGCAAAACACACACTGATATACTTTTATATTTTAGATACCCATAAAATTTTGACAATATTTTTACACACCACATAAACTTTACTGGCATTGTATGGTATCCACTGCGGATGACATTGTCCAATATGCCACATTAAGTACAAGTGAATTAGCATGACATGGATCGTTTGTTCAATTTTGCATGTAGATTTTTTCCTATGGAATTTTCTTCTGGTTACTTGTTTCATGACTTTTCAGGAAAAGTGTTTGTTTCTTACAAGGTAATTGTGAAGTAAACTATACTGTTACATTTTTCATGCCTATGGTGAACTTTTTATCAATGATAATTAGTGCCAGGCAGCAGTAGTCACATTGCACAAGAGTGCTTGCCAGACAGAACAAGTCCTGGGCAACCCTGCCAACTGTAGCTACAACCCTGCATTTAGTAATAATTTTTTTCATAGCTGTGACAGTTGGAATGAAATTTTTCTACAAGACTAAAGTTGCTCATAGCTAGTTCCAAGAGTTACTTATCTAATAAAGTAATAATAATTTTTCTTACCTTCTATATATCTATGTCCCATATGGTCATTATGTTTCTCTAATGCTCTTTTCACATCACTCTCACCATAAACTTCAATATAAGCTTCTCCACTTGGCCTTCCTTCTCGAGACAAAGTTGTATGTATACCATCTTCTCCTCCACAAATCTTCACACCTTGTAGAATGCATAAAAGCTTATATTGAAAAAAATTAATAATAATACCTTTTATAAAAGAGAGCAATGAAAATGAATGATTAATTTTATTAGTCCTTTGGCAGACATTTAATGCACTGGTGAGAATAAATGTTTCATCTCTATTTGCTACATTTGAAAAAAACTGAACAAAATATTTTTAAAAATCTGTGAAGTTGTCAAATTAGAGCCTACTACACCATAATCCAAACCTGTTATTCCTAACTAAATCCACTTTTCTTTTAATAACTATGTATAGTCACAAAAGGTGAATGTGACTTCGAATGCAGTCACAACTGAAAGTCACAAGTGGAAACTTAGACACTCACTAGCAGAAGCCTAGTCTCAAAAATTAAGTAGGCCAGCTAAGTACAAGCCTTTTTTTTCTGAGAAAAAAAACAACCTTTGTGGTGATTAACATACACAAATTAATTTGCATATGTGAATCACGTGAGTAGTTAAAGTGATGCATTACAACAAAGAAATAAAAAACATTTACTCTTTAACATTACAAATATTTGCATAATATGAGCAGAGTTACTGTTTATATCAAACTATATCCAATGATCTCCAATTTCTTGCAACTTTGACACATTTTCAAATCGGTTTTCTTGCCTTTGGCCACAATTAAAGATTGATTACTGTGCTGCTCAATGCATTTTTCTAGATAGCACATTTCTACTTTCCTCATGCCTACGTGTTTACGTACCACCATGAGCATAAAATGAAAAGGGACTGTATTTTTACCAAGTACACCAATGGCTAAACAATATTTGTGCTTACTTCAATCAAAATACAACTTTCTAAATATATATGTATTTCACAACTAAATTTATAAGTACCTCATAAAACTCTTACATCAAATACCTAATAAAATAAAATATTATACATATAATGATATTCAATAAAAAGGAAATACCGGAGAAGAAATTCATTATCTCTTCTTTAGTTGCTGACCACGGAAGTCCACGAACACGAAGAACATATCCCTCATCATCTTCACTGGACATTTTGAGTAAATTTCCTAACATATTTAAAACAAAATTGGATGACACTTTATCAATGGAGATTCATAATGATAACTTCACTGTACGTTCTCAGTCAATTTAGTTTTTATAACACACATCTTAGAGAAATAATGACCATTTAATGTTCAGTACATTGATGAAAATATAAATTAACTTAATAAAACACAAAAAGTTTATTTTCTATCTATAAATGGAACTGTCTTCTACCAGAGCTTCAGAACCAGGGATTGAATTTTAGTGCAGAATTAGATATTTCTGAAGCTTCTCCCACATATCTGCCACTTTCAGTTCATGAAAATTCCATGGAAATATTTTAGATTATCAGCCTACTAAGATTAATGGTGGATACCATTATGTGTTATATTGTGTCTAGGGCTGTAAGCCATTCATTTCAAGTACTGTTACCAGGGTTGTCAGCATTAGTTTTATATTCCTTAACTTAGTTCTTTCTTAAGTAATATTTACTACTTCAGATGCAACTAGATATGATTAGTTTATTTAGTTCTGAAAAGAAATTCCAGATTTCTCGACACCCAGATTTATATATTTCCCACTATTCATATTTTACACACTGTCCTACTCTTACATTTCCATTCAAACAGAACCCAGAATATACCTAAATGTGTATTCTGACAGTTTCTGTTGTAATAACACTCCCATTTTTCAATATATTGGCTCAAGATGTGCCAGTTTTTGAGAAGAGCTGGTTCACTCAAAAATAAAAGCATAAATAAATGTTAATACCACCAACCCATTCAATGTGAACATGATTGGTTTCTACAGGGAAAAAAGGAACCAACATTCTTTTGACTTCTACAAGTTGCCACCATTGTTTTGGATACTGTCCAACTTTAGGTTTCTATTACTATACCACATACTTATTACAAGTTATGTCCAATGATGCAACTATCTAATGATCTTTAAGAGTATTTCAGAATTTGCACATCTAAATGTTTGTTACATATGATACCATATCATTAATCCACATTCGTACAAATAGTTTCTACATTTTAGTTCCAAATTTTGGCACATTTTAGTTGCAGATATTTTAACTCATGGTCAGCACTGACTGTAACATGATTCTTGGTGGCCATCTTATCAGTTTCTGTTAACATCAGCAAGACTGTTGCTACCAGAGTACATAGTTTTGAAAATGAATGGTACTTATGACTTTCATGCCAGTTTGCACACTGACTCTGGGAGTTTCTTTTCTTTATAACTTTCACAATAAATGAATGTTTAGATTAACACACCATATAGAGACTATATGGACCACTTGTTAAATGTCTTTCAATGAAGTAGTAGTTGAATGTTTTGCCAAAGAACAATGAAGAATTTTTGTTCCATGTGAACAGAATTTTGGAACATTTATACTACCAAGATCTTCGTGCTTCAATCTTCAAGCCCAATGTCAAGATAAATTATCCATATAAATGTAAGAAATGTAAATAAACTTTGTATTATGATCAATGTAAAATCAGAGATTGCTTATTTTTTAACATATCTCAGCAATTTTTAACTGAATATGGACAACTTAACCCTTTAACTCTATCACTACGGGATCGGTCCCAGAAACTGACCTCATAACTATTTTGTGCTTGTTATAGTTTTCATGCTATAACTTTTAATACAGTAAACAAATCTTCATCAAATTGTGCATATTATCAGTAAACATTACAAGGCTTTCATATACAATATATCAGATATTTGTATCAAGTTTTAAGATTTTTTTTAAGTAATGATCTGCTCATGCACTATATTTTTCGAATGTTATCTATTCAACATGCAAAGTAACTTTGATTTTAAAATTAAAAATACTTTTATACATTAGAAAATTTTCAAATTTCACATTCAAAAATCTTTATAATATCCTGATAATTATCAAATGTTTTTTTAGAAAAAAACTTTATATTTTATATGTTATTTTCACTGTTGTATCTCTGTATGGGTTTGGTCGATTTACTGACCTCGTAACCACTATAAATATTTAGAAAATATTATAAGTTATGCTTTTTTCATTCTAGAATGACTACAAATTATACCACGAAAACATAAATGTTTAGTCTAAATAGGAAAAATCTCATAACATTATACATCTCTATATATTTATTATTTTATTGACCTTTCAGTCATGCCTGACTAACATTTCAAAGGTTGCAATGACGGGGTACACATGCACTCGTGTTACCATGTCCAAGAATATAACACTGGCCTTTACAAAGTGACCTGTCTTGGAAAATACAATCGCATTTTAGTTATAATACATTATATAAGCATATTCATTATTACTATTTACAAACCAGTTCTTAAATTTCAATTATTTCTTCTAGTTACAAACTTTGTACTCGTTTGTTGCTTGTTGTAAGTTGCTAAGCCTTATCAACTTTTGTACATGGAAGATATAAAACAAACTTTTTTAGGTTTTATATATGCATTTTGAAATAACAAAAAAAGCATAAATTGCTATATCAATACCACAGAATTCCACTATAATTTATCAAACTTAGTGACTAAGCTGTATATGAGTCTAAGAAAATATAATTTTTCGAGCTCACTGATGTCTTACCTTACTGCTTGAAGACTAGCATGAAAAGAAAGTTTCCTGAGCAAATACGTCCCAGAGGCTGAGAAAACCACTGGGGGAAACTCTGCACTCTCAATTGGTTATACACATGTTATTGGGTGAAGTAGGTGTACGTAAGAAAGTATTTTCAAAAATGGAAGAAGTAGGCAGGGCCACCTTGGTTGATTCAATAAATATATTAATATCTCGGAAAACAGAAAAGACAGGAGGTTCTTATTTTATATTCTAGCTTGTCAATATCAGTAATTTGAGTATCGAATTCATACAAAACTATAGACTTTGTATTTAGACATCATACACATTTAATTTGAACCAATGCTGCACTCAACATACCATGTGACACACAAAAATTGATATTTGTTTTTTTTAATACTTACTTTTAAATTAAGAAGTTAACTAATGTATAATACTAAAACTTGAATTATAATCTACAATTTGATATCAAACTTATTGACATATATTAGTAAAAGGGTAATTCAATAACATTTTGAATGTGAGTCTACAAATGAGATGGCATGGCCTTTGACCTGTGTCAGTAAGATTAGGTACAGACATGGCTCCTCTACACATCACAATATTTTAGTTACACAGTTACTTTCAAAATTTAACTAAACAACTATTACAATTACTTATGTATGTCAATAAAATTAAAATGGAGTTTATAATCCAAATTTTTATATTATTTAAGTTTTAATTTTCAATTTCAAAAGGTAATATTAAAAAATTCTCCATCTACAAATGCTTTCAATTTTCCCCTCTTAACTTGTATAATTTCAATAACAGAACATGTACACTGTCTATGTAGGCACAATCTGTAAATAATTCCAAGGTCCAATACATAATTTCAAGTCCTAAATTCTCTGTTTAGAGAGATACAATTACATGTTTTGAAACCACAACAGAAGCCCTGCCATCTATCTTTAACTTCCGAGGCAGTTTCCAAAACCATTTCATCTTATTTAATGCATGTTTATAACCAACAGAACAAGCTTGTTTTCAAAATCTAGCAATCCTTTTGAAATTGGCAGCAACAGACATTAAACTAAAAGTTTGACTGTGTAACATGTTGGTAAGCCAAATTTCTGGACACTCTACTTTAGTGAATTATGCCTTAAAATGTATATTTTAAAGTGATTTTTTTTTTTCATTGAAGAATTTAAGATAAAATTTTATCAAGGATTAGCTTGCTAGGTGACAAGTACAGAACTTCATGTATGCAGCAGGTTGGTGTATGGGAAGCTGCTAATGTCTTCGCACTGTGACTTGTTTGTTTTTTTCAGGGATGGATAAACTGTACATCATACAAGCCAGGCAACAGAACTATAAAATTGAAAATAAACTACATGTGAAAAGGTAAGCAGTTGAAATCGTGATAACATCAATTCAAGATCTAGAAAATAATTATGTACTGAAAGAAAAGGTATGTTCATTTCATTTCATAATTTCATTTTTTTGCATACTGATGATTCAGCTACTGTTAATGTTAGGGTAAATATATTATAAACTTGTGTTACAAAAATTTGTAATTCATTTAGGAAATTTTAGACGTTATGCAAATAAAACCTGAAAACTATAAGATGAAAAGAGGTATTTTTATTCTTAGTATGAAAATCACCTTTCACTCACACCGAATCAAAATGCCCCGTAAACCTACAAATATTTAGTAACAATATTTTATTGAAAAATGTGTGTACAGCAGACTTGTAGTGCTTACTTAAGGCTTGTCAAATTTTGTGGTGATACACTCTGTAAATTCAGTTATGGCACTCTCAGTTTCATTGTTACATGGTGGTTAAAAATTGGTCAAAATTACCAGGTCCATACTTAGAGGGTTAGTTTATGATTGTAAAGGGAATTGATAGTGTTCATGCATCATCTTTTTTTTCATACTTAACAGTGAGAATAGTAGGACTAGAGAACACAAATATAAATTTTGGCAGGGTAGGAGTAATCTTCAGCTAAGGCAGTTTTATTTTACTAACTGGGTGGTTGGCCTTTGGAATGGGTTGCCTTCAGATGTTGTGGAAGCAGTAAATTTAAGCGAGTTTAAGAGAAAGCTTGATAAGTATATGAATGATAAGGGCTGGCTTTAAGATTTGTTTTCAATTTATTTATTAATAGATTTAGTTTAATTTAGAGGATGGAACAGCCAAATTGGACCAATAGGTCCCATGTTGTCCCAAAACATTATGTTAAGTATATCAGCCCTATAACAGTGCAAGTCCTATACATATTTGTGTGATGTCTCATTGCAAAGGCAATTTTCTTCAATATTTCAAGAAATACTAAAATAAATACAACAAAACACATCTCTAACACAAAAATATATTTACATACCTGAGTTGGCAATGTTTTAGCAACAAAACAAGAGGTCTGAAACACTTGAACCTCAAAATTAAATATTTCATTTCATATGTTATTTCAAGAAGTCTTTTATGTGAAAGTCGCATAGTAGGTAAGGTAATATTTGAAGATTTAAGTGTTTCAGATATCTTGTCTTGCCACAAAAATGTTGCCAACTCAGGAGTACAAGTTTACATTTGCATTAGAGATGCATTTGTTTAATTTTTCTGAAGTATTGAAGGAAATTGTATTTTCAATGGGCCATCACATAAATCTAGATATAGCACACGTAGGGCTAATACATATACCATCTCTAATGCTATTATTACTATTAGTAGGAGATCTCAGACAATTATAGTTCCCAGCCATCGAACTGTCTAAGTGCAAAGTCGCAGTTGGAAATTTATGTCTCCCATAAACAAAATACTAAATTATTGTACACCAAACAAGTGAAAAATATCTACAGGACTATTACATGCTGAGTTTTCACTGTTTATTTCAAGGCAACCATATTCCCATTAGTTGTAAATACACTATAATAAGGCTGCCATGATCACTAAACATTCCTTCACCATGTTGCAAAGATGAATGAGCAAATGTTAGCACCAAAAACAGGGCATCTGCGAGTGGGTACTTGACCAATAAGAGTCAGTGACACATCAAATGAGAGCTCTCTTCATGCTCTACATTTATTCGAGTGTTGTTGTTTTTTGTATCCAGAACCATTTCCTATTTTAAAACATACAAATGCAACTTTAAAACCATTATTAAATACTTTTTTTAGTCATTGAATTTGAAAAAACAAAGCCATACAATAAACTATGTGGTCCATACTACATAATTCATAAACTGATATATACATTCCCATTTCCATCTGACAGCATGATATCCAACTGATTAAAATCACGAATTATCATCACAAATGCTTCAAAGATATATAAAGATGGGCTGGGCGTTGCTTAGTGGTTATTGCGTCCGAACCATGAATTCGAAGATTTATGGTTCATTCTCAATTTTGTAAAAACACGTTTGCAATTTGGTAGCGTGGCTGCACTATAAGAGTGACAATAAAGTTCCATTGTTCGATCAGGCAAGAATAGACCTGAAGTTGGCTGAATACAAAGTTCATACTTGATTTTTAACATTTGGTTGTTGACAGTTTCATTTTATTTATCAATATAATATAAATTCACTTTGGTAACGTGGCTGCACTATAAGAGTGACAATAAAGTTCCATTGTTCGATCAGGCAAGAATAGACCTAAAGTTGGCTGAATACAAAGTTCATACTTGATTTTTAACATTTGGTTGTTGACAGTTTCATTTTATTTATCAATATAATATAAATTCACAGATATGAATTTTTAAAATTAAATTGAAGTTACTTTATTAGGGCTACATTATATTTTTATCTCACCTTGTTATAAGTTTCATGCAATGTCTCAGGTTACCAGGCAAAGCAATTTTCTTAGCACTGTTCCAAGGAGACATTCATGTAGTGCAAAAGGTAAATTTATAGGTACAACTATTAATTGTTTTTCATTAATTATTAATTACATAATTCATATTGCTATATAAATCTACTAATTTTGAATGTGGAAACCAATGGTGTCTCCCACTGTCAAGTGTCAGTTCCAACTCCCTAAATGTTTTCAATGTTATTTTCAAGTTATTTTCAAATTAAATCTAGCTTACTTAATACTACTACTAGTAATACAAAGCCCAAACAAATTCAATTATCACACATTATCAGTTATTCAACCCGAGACAAGATTACGCCACCTTACTTACTCAGTTACTGTATGACCAAGATACCCGTTTCAACTTGCTGTAGTAGTACTAGCACGATAACGAATGCTCACGTTGGCTTGAAAGTTGAATTAAGCTAGTTAGGCCTACTGTGTTACTAATGTTATTGTTAGGCCTAAGGTTAATACTTCAAAATAACAAATTTGGGCCTATAACGGTAGGAATTGGCAATCAAACTTTCAAAGAAAAAAATATTAAATAATCAATACAATGCAAAAATGAAATCAATGTTAAAAACAACTGCATAAACTTACAAAACTTGTATCCTTCACTCGACTCACAATACACCAAATACCAAAATCGATTAATATACAGTAGGTTATGCGGCTAAATAAAATTATTTATCTTTGTTACAACCAGTGATCGACCAAAAATAGTTCTTTCTTAGTTTTGTTATTTCCTATCTACAATTATATTCTTATACGTAGAACTTCATTTTCGTAGTATAATATAATTATATTTCGATTTAATTATAAAGAAGTAACTTAATACCAGGTATTTAACATATTTCAGATCATAGATAATATATTGATCGAGCACAATAGAACCTATTTTTGATTTGGTGTCATATAAAAAATATATTAATATAAAAGATTAAGTTGGTGTTTAATAATTAACAGTATTATACTTTAATTTAAATAATAAATTCTTATTTCTTTGTTATATACGAAGCCATTTTTAACTTTTATTAATTTATGTTAACTAATATAAAATACCAGAGAGGAATTTTAAAAATTTCTAAAGATTCAAAAATTCATGAGCAAGTTGATATGATTTTTTAATATTATGTTTTTAATAATCTACGAAATAGCTTTACCATTGGATAACATCATTTAGGCTAATTTTGAAACAAGAATAGATTTTAATATGAACATCATTTTGTGTTTTTTGAAATGTTAAACTACATAACAAATATACTTACTTTCAATGATTATTTGGAATTTTATACATATTGTGTTAGTCAACTTCGCCTTCATCAAAATGTAAAATATACATACACATGCTTTAGAACAAATATGGTGACATTAATAAGCACAGAAATTACTAAATAACTGTTACGTCATTATTGCAACCATATGATATACTTTTAATGATTAAGCAATTAGTATGAGACACACAAATATATGTCTTCTTTAAATAAATAAATAAACAATATATATATATATATATATATATATAATAGCAGTAGGTTGCTTCATACCGGTTCGTTCTCTATGATCGGTTAGTAATTTGGGACGGCGTCAGGCTTCTTGGACTGTGCGCTGACAAACGTGCCGTGACAGGATTCTATAATTAAAGGGAGGAAGGTCTGTGCTTTGGGCGCTGCTGAAAACTCATCTAGCGTGTAACCATAGCCGCAATATTAAATTTTCTCTGAGAAGTAGCAATTGTTTTTTAACTCTATAGAGTCCAAAGTTAGCAATTGTAGTTAAAATAGCACGATGAAGAATTATACTATGAAGAAAACACCTATAAACTCCACGTTCTGTTTTTACAACCTATTCAGAAGCGACTTTATATTTAAACTTTTTGGCTCGAAATTTAATTATAAGATTGCTCCTAAAGAAGTTGTACAAACTAAAGTTGAGTGAAATAAAATTTAAAAATTTGTTATGCAAATTATTTGTTTGTAGTTAAGCACAAAATTGCAAAATAAGTTATTTGTGCTGTGCCCACCACGAGTATCGAAACCCGGTTTTCAGCTTTGTAAGTCCTCATACATAACATTGAGCCACTAGCAGGTTCTTTGAATTTTGTGGTCGTTCCCTTCTTAGAATAAGGTGCCTAACATATTTTCCAGTTAGCATCTCATAATGGTAGCGATAAAACAATTGATGCTACGCATAACTAGTCCAATATTGTGGTGGTCATTTTAATTTTATTATTTCCTCGGCTTCGATTAGAGCCCCAGACCTCTCCCACACATTAGACGAGTGCTCTGCCAATTGAGATAAAGAGCGAAATTATCAAGCTGTAAAAACAGACTATCCATTCTTGTGTTTTTCTGATATTTTAACTTTATTATTAAAAAACATGTCACGTGACTGATTATATCGCGTTCCAGTTATCTTTTAATTGGCACTTAGTGGGATTCATAGTACAATAAGACTGATAATAGCTTTGATCATATTTTCTTCACTGAACTAAATGTGGATTTCGGTATGAAGAGTATATATAATAACACTGATGATTTCAACTGTACACTTTTGTGTGTCGTATGCCACTTACCAAAAGGCCTTTCACTTAATGCCAGTCGGCTCAATATAAATTAACACTGAAATCTCGCCCGAATTCTTCCATCCACTCAAAGTGTGTATCATCTTCAATGCAGAAAGCGTGTGGCTTTCATGGAGAAATTGGCCAAAAACTGCTAATAACATTGTATTCAGATACGCTAATATCCAACTGAGAAATTTAAAAGTATCTGCAAGAACGCAAGTCACATAAATGTTAGAGCATAGAATAAAGTAAGATTGGACACAGTATTTAAATTGTTTTGGAAATTATACCAGCATGCGCGTGTTTGGAAGGGGTCGGGATGGACTGGTGTGAAACATACACGCGTTAACATTGCAGAGGCACTAAAATCGAACGTATATTCGTGCAAAAATCATATTGGCGTAGGTATACTTTTTATATCCGTATCTTATACCACCATTTATTTCTTAACGATATGCACACTATCTCACTTTAACCACTGCTTAGACAGCAAAGAAAAGAAACAAACACAAACGCCAACAAATAAAACCATATCATTATTAACAACAATTGTGTTCGTGTAAGTTTTTATTTTACTAAACTGGCTAGATTCTTAAATGCCTGTACTTAAACTGGCTGTTGAGGCTCGTAAAACTTTCTAATCAGAACTCCACAGAAAAAAAAAATGGTATATCACATTTTCCAATCAGGAAATGGACTCAAGTGTAGCATAACCTAATCAAAATCTACACTACATCGACTAATTGACATATTCCAAATAACATATATAGTAGAAAAGTTCCTAACTTGTACCAATTTGTACATGTACGTTATGTGAGTAAATTATACATCTATTACCTACCTCAGTGTGCAGTTTTTAAGATTGTTAAGCTACTTGTCTCCATGCTGTAATGGCAGCAACAGGTGCTACAGAAAGTCTTTAAGATTACCTTGTTCTAGTCGCTTCTACCATAGAAGTTAATGCAATAACATACAGTGCTTGGGTTGAAAGGATTGGAACTGTTGTATCCTTTGTGATATGTTGATAATGATGTTGATTAAATTTAACAACTAACCAATGCTGCGAAGGAACAATGATGATGAAGTGATGTTGTTAGCTGGACAAAGAAAGCGAGTTTAGCTATTGAAATGAGATAAACTTTTTTTAGCCAGTTTCTACTAAGAGGTCATCAAGTTAAGACTTCTTTTTTTAAAAACAATGTGTTTAATTCAAGGGAGATTAATTCTGAAAGTGAGAAAGCTTAGTAAAAAGGACTGTAATTTCGTCTACAAAGGTATGTACACTGTGTTTCCATTTATTAGTTGTAATAAATATTTTGTTTATTAATTCAAATTTGTTCATACTCATTATCTTACTCTTAAAGGAACTCAGTACAATTATCTATTACAGAACATTCCCCTTACTTCTTGATCGAATATGTTGTATTCGCGGATTTGCCTATCTGATACTTGTAGGGAAATTGGTTTTACCTGAAAACGCCACATATGTATCTGTTTTATCCCTTCGGATGGGGTTGCCTCACATCAGACTGGACATAGACCTTAACCCAAAGAGATGGCTTTTAGCCATTACTATATGCAACCTTCACCTAATTATAATGATTAGTATATGCTTACTACCTTTTAAAATCTGGTTACCAAGAGTTTAATTAATACTTGAAAAACATTTGCACGAAAATTTAGAAAAATTACCTGAAGATACCTAAATAAAGACATTCTACTAGTTATGGAGGGGCGAAATTAATAGCTGTTACAATTATGACAATCATATGATGTGAAACCTATGAACTGCTGACTTTTCATTTGGTATCAGGTTGAGGCCAGTGTTAACCATTGCAATCATCACACGATTAATGAATACTATTACTGCCTATTGTATGACCAAAACGTTCCACTAATGTACACGTGAACACACACTTTCCCGGTTTAAATTATCAATCCTAAATCTTTTCTGCATTCAAATAGTATTCCAAAGGTCTTAGCAATGATCTGAAAGTTCGACCGAAATGTCATCTGTACAGATAAAACATATTTCACATTGCAGCCCTCTGAGTGTAAATTTGACCAGTATCTTGAAAATGCCATAAGGTATTTTCTGAATATTAATTCCATTTCAACCTGCCAATAACTGGAAGGCAGATCAAGATCTGAACCATCAAGTGCTTTCCAATCTATCCAGTCATATATCCATTCGTGACAAAGGAAGTGCATTGATGTATGTTTTATAATCAACCTCATAAATAAAGCCCATGCAGAATCTTAGCATTCCCTCATTTTTCTTTTGGAGATCACTAATTCTGTAATAACTTCTACCAGAAGAACTACTAAAATTCTATAACAATAACAATTAAAAATATATATTCTTAAGTATGAGTAACAGGCAAACTACGAAAACGCTTTATGACAACTCTGCCCTAGGTCATCATTTCCTAGTGATGTTTTCGGCCATCAGCCTAAGGACACCAGACGAGTTTGGGCCTGTTTAACGATATTGCTCATCATGGAATCAGAACTGTCAGATGTAACACTTATATACCTTGTATTTCACAATTAACCAATGTATTAATTACTATTTAAGATATTTAATGTCATATACTAATATAGATAAAACTATAAATAAGTAAAATACGTATTGAATTATAGAAAATTAATACTTTAAATTACTATAGATTAGAAACACAACACGCAAACTTATGTCTAATTTTGTACATGGCAAGTTCCAGCTTGATGTCCACAGAACAATAGCACAGCCTGTGTAAATATATGACCGCTAGTGTATCTGTTCTAGTTTTATCAGTCTCAATCCACCATAGTGTTTGAGAGTGGCCTTACTAAAGAAAGTGTGCCCACTGGCTAGTCTTAAGATAAGTGGCTTATAAAGGGATTTTCTGTTTGTTTTAGAGCAAAGCCACATTGAGCTACCTGTTGTGTCCACAGTAGGGAATGGAACCTAGGATTTTAAATATATAGACTTATTGCTTATAAAGGTGGCAAACTAGAGGAAGGATAATTTAATA